AAGGTGCTCTTGGCTTAGCAAACCCCAGTGGATGGATCACGGAAGATGCCTTTTTAAATGCCATTAAACATTTTATTAAATTTGTTAAACCTTCGAAAGACATTCCTTGTTTAATATTAATGGATAATCACAAAACTCATATTACGTTGGATACAGTGATTCTTGCAAGACAAAATAGTATCGTGATGCTCACATTTCCTCCACACTGTAGTCACCGATTGCAACCAGCTGATGTGTCTGTTTTTGGTCCTTTTAAGACACGATATCGATCCGCAATGAATGCATGGATGTTAACCCACCCAGGCAAAACTGTTACTATTTATGAAGTAGCTCAATTCGCCAATGAAGCTTTCGTTCATGGATTTTCGATGCAAAATATATTAAAAAGATTTTCAAAAACTGGAATATATCCATTCAACCGTAATATATTTTCTGTCGATGACTTCTTGTCATGCTCTGTGACAGACCGTCCGTATGATTCTATTCCACCGATTACCAATAGTTCAAGTAATATCGAACCATATTCATCTAACTCTACACTACATGCTGATCTACCAGTTTAAGATCCAGAGACATTATGTGGATCATCTTTGACTCCGGAACAAATCAGACCCTACCCAAAAGCTCCACCTAGAAAAACAGATAGTCAACGACCTCGTAAAGAGAAAACAGCAATAATTACTGATACACCAGAAAAGGACAAATTGCTGGAGGAAAAGGAGGCAGCCTTGCGAAAAAAAGGAAAGGTATCACTTGAAACAAAGAAAAGAGTGAACAGTATTATATGCAAGGAGTCTACGTCTGGGGAGTCAAGCTCATACAAAAAAAGGAAAGTATCAAATGAAAGAAAAAGAAAGTTAAACAGTGCTAAAGACCATGAATTCACAACAGAAGAATCGGATACAAACATATCGTTACACGATTCAAGTGATGATGAAGCTTCTTTATCTCTGTATACTAAGAAGAATATGACAAATAATGACAATAAACAAGAACTGTGTACGGTTTGTAAAGGTGATTATGCCTCAAGCAAAATCGATTGGCTGCAGTGTTTCATTTGTCACTATTGGGCTCATGAAACTTGTGGTCTTAAAGGAGTTCTTAATTTCTTTTGCAATAATTGTAACTGAATATTCATGACTATCCCATATTATTCATGACTCTATCCCGTGTTAAGTAGTTACCAAGTTAAAATTTTATTGAATTAAAAAAAGGCAAATTTTTGTTATTTTGATCACACAAATTTTTTCGATTTGTGCAAGTCTGTTTTTTTTTATTTAAGAGCATTTCGTTTCACCTATACTTGCAACATAGTAAATAAAAAGTTACTTAAAACGTGTCTTTAATTATTTTGTGGTATTCCCAAAGCATGTACAATATTCGAAAGCAAATTAGACGCATATTAGCTTCCCTGTCCGGTTCAAAGCACCGTATGTCCTTTTCAAGGCATCGGCGGGCCGAAACGGACAAAATTCATTTTATTGTTTACATCAAATTATTCAAAAAAAAAATTCTTCTATTGAGGTATGCGTGTTATACAAATGAAGCACAAGTATTAAATTTGTGTTTAATAAATTGTTTGTGGTATTTCAAATCAACACAATAATGTACTGGGTCATTAAAGTGAACTGTCCGTTTCATTGACACTCTCCCCTACAATTCATAAACAATTTAAAAAAGAAGGTACAATACATCGGAAATTTTGAACCGGCTAAGGAAACCATCAGAAAATTACAATAATTACAAGTAAACAAGGACTTGCAAAATGGGAAATACAATAAGAGGATGGGTACCTCAGGAAAAATGTACGCACTACAAGTTTACAATAACGCAAAACATCTGCAATACAATTATTTATCCTAACAATTAGTAGAACTGATTTCAAGATATTTTGAAGATACACTTGAAGATCACATCAATCTACAAAACTACAAAGGCATCGATAGTTTATGCCAATTCCTACAAATAAGAGAATCGCGTATGCAAGAAATAAGGGCAAGAAGATTGCAAGGAAACTATAGACACAGAGAAACTCAAGAATACAGAGACAGAGGACAACATTTTAGGAGGAACTATACAAAACGAGAATTTAATCCAAGTAGGGAAAACAAATAGACAAAACGAAAGAGAAAATTATGAACTCAGAAATCGGCAATGGAACGAAGACATATATCGAGAAAATCAGAACAGAAATAACAACAGCACATATCAAAAAAACAGAAATAATAATCGACGAAATGAACAGGAGTTACCGCGGAAACTGATACGGGGCTGACAGACCAAAAGAAAATAGAAGAGAGGTAAATAATACCCAAATTGAGGAATATGAAGATGAGAGACAAAGCGACGGGAGAAAAAGCACAGAAGAACAACAGGCGTGTTTTCACGAAGGCACTCACTAAAAACAAAAAAACAAATAGGAATTTTTTGTCACCCGAAGGAGTTTACTAATTTGACAGGAAATAATGAGAGAATAAGTTTGATTTATTAGAGTTAATTTAAAATTTGTGGATGGTTTTATCAATGATAAACCAATTAAAATTACGATAGACACCGGTTCGGAAATAACATTGGTCAACAGAAAATTATTAAAAGTTAATTTGATAAATTTATGAGCGCAAATAAACGGACATTGGCAACGATAAAGGAAGGCATACGAGTAATGTTAAGAATGGGTAAGAGATTTTATGCATTACAATGTGTAATAATGCCAAACATGTCACATGACATGATTGTAGGAGTTGACGAATTGGCAGAAAAACATGTAGTGATAGATTTCAAAAATAATACAATGAAACTAACAGAAGAATAAGAATGAGAACAGGACAAGTGGAAAAAGGATAAAGAACACAAAAAGCGGAAAAATGTCGATTCGGATAAAGAACAAACATTGGAAATGAATTTGGAAACGAAGCAAGGACAGAGAAGAAAAAGGAGAAAACGTCAGAAAAAGCTAAAAGAAGTTAAAACCTGGGATTTCTCAAAAGAAGAGATGAGCCCAGAAGAAGAAGAATAAATAAAGTTGACAAATGAAAACGAAAAGGATATAATTAAAACAGTGGTATTTGAGGAAGAGGTATATGAAAACGAGGATGCAGAATGCACGATAAACATGTGTAAAGAATCTGAGCAAAAAGACAGAAAATTGATATGTGGAGAAGGAAAAGAAAATGCGTTGTGTTTGTAAGATCGAAAGGACAAGTCCAGTTTTGAAGACCGTATGCTGAAAAAGTAACGCAGGTTGTGTTAAATGTTAAAAGTGTCATTAGCAGAATAGTGGAACGAGTGATAGACTAAGTAGAGAGGTTCTTTGGAAAACTCCTTGGAGTCAGATGTGTCCAGTTGTATAAGTAACGAGGAAAAGTTTGTTTGAATTTGTGGCACTGAGTCGATAAAAGAGATCCTTGGGTCATAAAAAGTAGAAGTGATTAAAAAAAAAGGTGAAGAATTGCACCAGGAGAAGATAAGAACGAGTACTGTGGGAAGCAGTGAACAAGAAGGAGAGCAGAATTTGCAGAGTAGCAGAACACACATTATTGAGGAACGTGGACGGGTTTTTCTAGTTACAACACAATCCAGGAAGGAAAATATTACATGTGCAGACATTATCGATCAGCAAAGGTCAGTCGTTTTCTTTTGTGACATGGACGTATGGGTTTTTCGTATTAAATACCATATTGCATATTAAATTTCATAACATTTCATTATTATAAAATTATATAAATCCAATCAGATTTGTTTGTTATAAATTGTTAAAGTTGGTTTTGTGTATGATATAAATATTCGTGTTTTTAGTATGATATAAATATTCTAGGATTAAGAAAATTGCAATATTTAATATTTTAATTTCTTTTGATAAAATAAATGGTATTGATAATTAAAATACCAATAAATTGGTATTGATAAGGAAACAACTAAGAAATACTAGAAGCCACGAATGAAGGTGATTTATATAAAAATTGAGCCTTGAGATTTGTTTTTTGTTTATGTTTTGATTTTCTTAATTAATAAAATTTCAGACACAGACAAAATAGGTTCATATTCAAATATCGACCAAATCAAATATTTTAACAGTAAAAGAAAATGGTGGAAAAAGGTGTTGTTTGGACTAGGTATGCTTGCTGCTGTAAACAGTTAAGTAATCATTTATTTAACAGGTAAAGAGCTGATTCAGTTTTAAAAGAATAAGTCAAAAGTTCACGTAAGAAGAAGATCGACGGGGAGGCCGTCCAAGAGGACAAAAATCATGATAAATGTAGGAAAATATATGCTAGTCGAGAGTGGAACATCGGGACGTTGTGCAAGATGTTCCCAACGAAAAATAGAAAAACGAACTTCAACATTACGCAGAATGTGTCATGTACCCCTTTGCAGAAATTATATTAAATAAATTTCCAAGAACCCTTGGACCTTTTTTCGAAGGCTACCACAAGGGATATATGTCTCAATTAACAATACCAATGGGACACATATGTACTATCTATCAGTTTTAAAATTAAGAAAAAAATCGTATGCAAACCTGTTTGCGTAACCTAATTACATACAAAGCTAAGAAATTACGATTTCTGTTTTTTTACGATTTATTTCAGTAACAAAATTGGGGTTGAAAGGATTAATATTGTCGTTTCTATACACGCATATTGCATTTAAAGGCTTATTAGATCGATGCACGCAAAGAATTATTCAAAATTAAGTAAGAAAGCAATCAAAATTAGTACAGAAATACAAATATCATTATTAAAATGCAGTCAAAGGTGTACGAACCAAGAGCAATAAAAACAAATCAAGAAAATTTCAAACTGAACAGAAAAATAATTTTATTTATGGCATATATCCTGGAATGATCTGTCCATATTTTTTTAATATTGTATCCCTCTCATTGGGTTCCGCCTATGAGGGAGATGTTGAAACTAACGTGAACATCAGTAATAGAAATATTTTCATTGATTACAATGTAAGCTACTCAAGGTATTATCGGATAAATTTAAATTTTCACTTACCTTTTTTGATTTGCATGAATCCCGTTAAAACAACATCTTTGTAGTTCTTTGGTGGATTTTCGTCGGCAAACGGGCTAATTAACGTTACTTCATGTCCAGCTTGAGCTAGACCTCTCGCTAAAGAATTTCCTAGAATAAAGTGGCTTTTGGAAGGCACCGGGAATACCAATAACACTTTATAACTTTGAGCCAAAGAAACTATTTTCCAGAGAAGAGTCAGATACAGAAGCAATTTCATTTTTAATTTATATCATAAGTGTTGATATTTGTGTTATCTATCGATGTGTATTTGTCTATTTTATTGAACTAACAACGAAGCATGCCAAAAGATGATCTCAAATCTAAGTCAAGGTCTACCAGTGGTGTAGGTAGCAATTGTTTTGAATTTTGACAAGTTCAACGGCCTATTTAGTCTTACGATTTTAAATATGAAGGGAGCCAATCGACATATTATCATTTAAAACGGTGTTTAATTTTCTCTTCAATGATAGCTGTTTAATATTTTTTAATTAAATGGTTTTGGGAGTGGTTGCAAAGTTATTATGTAAATAAAAATTATTTTATTGGGGCTTCTTTCAATTGAAGCGGTTATTCTATATTTATTGACACCGTCAAGGTTCCGGAATAATGGAACAAAATTAAATAAATAAATATGGATATATATTTTTAGATTGGCGAATCTTTTTTCGTGGCCTTTGTTTGTCTTGTCATTTTATAAGTAAAAGTTTGTCTGTCATAATTATTTTCAATTTGACTAATAAACTTCCTCCCATGATTTTTAATGTCAATAGAAAGTTAACCCTAGATACGATAAAGATATAGAACATATAATAAGTGAAAAAAAAATATTTGGAATACTATTTCTGTAGCCTGGTTTCAAAGATGGCCAACTCCATTTATCAACATTTTCAGTATAGGTAAGAAACTGTTTAAATTACTTCCACACAATTGGTACTATTGAATTTTTGTTTGTTGATTAATAATTATTTCCAGAGCATCTTGGAATAATAATATTTATGCTTTTTACTGTAGTTAAAGGGATATTGTAGCGTTTTATATTTAATGTCTAAATAATAATATAAATTCGATTCTATATTTATCATAGTACGCCCCTGGTATGCTAGAAATGTGTTGCCTGTAGAGATTTTTAAATACGCAATAATTCTTCAATAAATAAAGACGTATTTGCTAAGGAAAACAATTTATGGCTTTTTAACTTCAACGTTCCCAGAAAAACATTGCAAGCCTGGTATTCTTTTTTCTAAAGCGTAGTAACGCCGGAAGTTTGAACGAGTTTGAGTAAAGAATTTGTTGATTTGACAAGATGGCAATGGTTGTGCGGGGAAAAGAGAGTGGTTCGTAGTTCTCTGATCGAGGTCAAGAGAGAGTGATGAAGAATTGCTCGAAGGGAAAAGTCGTTTAATTGTGATGTGGTAAGCCGGCATTAATTCGCCAAAAATGGTGGAATTTTCACTCTATGTAATATGTCGTTTCTGAAAGAGTGACCACTAACCACTGTTTTGATTTTGCTGAAGATTTATAATGTTTGAAATGTGACCAAGTTTAGTTCTTGCTTTCTTTTCGTTTTTTTGAGAAATCCAGTTCCTTTCCAAGATGCCTCTTCACCTCACGTAGAATGATATTGGAGCAGTTTTGATTTGAATGTGCCAGTGTGCCAGATTCAGCCTCCAAGAAAGTTTTCCGTTGATGATGTTTCAGTTAGATACCCCACAGATATCTATTAGCCAGTTGTTCAAAAGTTTAAGTTAACATGTGTGAACTGAGGTAACATTTACGTTATTAATTTTTAAAGTAAAAATAGACATTTTCTTTTAAAAAGACAAAATTTGCTTTCTTTTATAAATTATTTTTAAAAAAAAAAATTTGTAATTAAAATAAATATTATGTTAGGGTGTAATTTAAACTGTCATCGGTCATAATTTTATCCTGTTTTAAAAATGTTTGTTTTAACGTATGACAGTTTGATTTTTAATCTGTTGTAAAAGATATTTCGATTTTATAGTAAAGATTAAATTTTATTTTTCACAAAAGGATATCCATAAAATTTTAATCTAATTTGGCCACGTTATTTACTAGGAACCATTTCGAAGGTTTTTGTAACCTCTTTGTAAACAGATAACATGTAAGTTTCTTTATTTGTATTTGACAACTATTTTTATATAGTATGCCTTTTGTATAAGCTGTATTTTTAAAAAACTGTTTGTTTGAGACAATAAAAACGTTAGATTTGTTTCTCTAACCTATTTTTTTATTTTTATTTAGAAAATCTCCTAAACCCTTTTTATGTATTTTAGAAACTAAGGAAGAAGAATTTTTTTCCTTCAGTAAACTAGGATCCTTCAAGTGGCGCCCTATATTAAATTCCTTGAGGTGTTCCCAGTCTAACTTTGATTTGTTCGTTGTATCAATTGCCCAGGAGATTTATGTAAGTATCCCTTTGTCTTCATTTTAGTAGATACCCCAATCCAACCCCCATATTTCAACTTATCCACGACCCAGCTCTCCAACAACCAACTGAGTGTCGTTCGCACTTGTTAGGATTATTTTGTTTGCCCAATCTTTTACCCCTCATGTTCTTACCCTGAGGTAAGCAAAATATTATCGTTACAATATTTAAGGTTGAAATAGGAAGTTAACCGTGTTTGTACCAACATGTGGAGATAGTCGTTTTTGTCACTAAAAATGTTGCTGATAGTGTCGCTGATATGTTAAGTCAGCAGTAAAATATCAATAGCAATGCATCAGGGCTTGCCCGATACTGAAGATTTTTTTGGTGAAATTAAAAAAAAGGAAATATGTGTCAAAAATATTAATAAATTATTGGGCTAATACAATATTTGTCAATAAAATTAGAAACCCGATCAATACACTAGGTAACAACAAAAGGCCACCATCCGGGTGGCTCGTAGTTGGTGCGTAAGTCTGTATAATTTTAAGTTTGTATCTTGGGTTTAATTTAAAAATAAGATAAATGACTCTGGTACATTGATATAACAGATATATAACTCTCAACTGGAATAGCACTTAGAAATGCTTATGTCTCGCATCAAAACATTTCAATGAAAACATGACGATTACCAAATTCAAGGAAGAAGTAATTCAGAGCCTTTATTTTATTTTTTAAGGATTTTATTGTCACACCAGTCATTGTCAACTCTGGTGTTGCTCAACGCGATGTTGATCGTGTTGGCAGAAGACCATGTACAACGTGTTACGCAAAAATGGTAGAAGAGGAAGAAATGCGAGTAGCACAGACAGCAAAAACAAGCAACAGCTCATTGATATGTGATGGCTGTAAAAATTCTATTGCCTAGAATTTTTTTTGTCATACATTTCGTGATAAAAAATTAAATTAATACTCTAGATACAATTTTGATATAATGTTATTACGTTTTGTTTTATGAAAATAAAGCTTATTTGGCCTAAAATCTGTTCTTACTATGAATATATAACAAAAAAATACATAATTACGCAATTGTTACTAATAAATACTATGGGCCATGTGAGTCCTTGTTGACATCTTGGAAGCACAGGCCAAGTATGCTTTCTAGACCATCTGGCCAGACTCGAAATGTCCCCGTGTATTTTAAATGAGTTCGAGAAGCCGCTGTTGAGTCCGCGCTGCTTTCTTATGGCTCTTAATGTGTTAAAAATAATTTCAAAATTGTTAAATTCCCTAACGTTCACGCAGAAAAAGTCTTCTGCGGTTTTGTTCATGAGATTTTATAAAAATTAAAACTCCGCCGTAAAATTTAAATTTTTTCTGTAAAATAATGATTATAAAAATTACTATTCAGGTAACACAGGTAATTTTAAGATCAAAACACATCAACACAATTAACTATAATTCATAATCAAAAGTATTCGTGACTTGGCAACTAAATACTTGACGAATTTATTTATAATTGTGTATTTTAATATATATTTTGCATTTATTCGCCCCAAACTTGACAGTTAAATTTGTTGATGTACTACATATTTATTCAAAAATGGGCTCTATCGCTTAAGATAACTTTTCAATGAAAATTTGGGTCAGTTTCCAACAGTTGCACAGTCCATTCAGCGAACAAACGTCATTTTCTATGATCTAACCAATTGATCTCGCATGATTAATGTACCTATTTATACTTATCTGAACAAATAAGTCTTGTTTTAAAATAATTTGAAGATACGAAAAGCTCAATGTCTTAGGCTGTGTCGTAAAAGAACTACATACCAACGCTTTTTAGTTATTACATGAGAACAAATCATGGGAAAACAGTAGAAGCTGCTCGTTAACCAGCTCTTCAGATGATGACCGCCAACCTTAGAAAGAAGACAAGAAAATTATTTAGGTTTGGGTAGGTAACTATAATTTAATAGATTTTAGAAAAAAACAAAAACATCTATATTTAAATTTTGCCAATTATTCTTTTTTGGATTTTTTGTTTTTCCTAGAACAGCAAATCCTTTTATAAGTTATATATACTACCGTCAATACAATACTAAAGCCTAATACTAAAACAGCGATAACATCAAGCAAAAAATATTTGTAGAACGGCATATTGATTGCGGCTACCCTCAAGTGAGGGGCTCCTTTATTTCTCACTATATACTCCACCCAATAAACTGCTGTATCCATCGGTTTGACAATTCTGTCGTGCATAAGCTTTGACCTCAATTTCGCGTTTTCTGTGTACCTGTAATGTAAATTGTATAGGTTAATTATTTTATTTTAATAAGATCACAAATTTCGAAATAAACAGGTTTTATGCTAGAACAACACTGACAATAGCTACCATATCTTTTTATTATGTAGATCAAATTATAAGATATTATGTAATTAATAATAAAAAATTATTACTGGCTTTTACAAAAAATGTTTATAATGTGATAATTTAATTACAAATTCATAAAATCTTGTTAAATCTGTGTCAACACTTCCAGCGCTCGCGATTGTATTAGACGGCATGAATTTGATTTTATTTTGTTTATATGTAATCCCATTCGTAAGGCCTAGACACGATGCTTATCGTAGTCGAGGACGTCCTCCAACAAGGTGGTCGGACGATTTAAAGCGCATCCAGTCTAACTGGATTCAAGTTGCTCAAGATCGGATGCAATGGAATTATTTACGGGAGGCCTATGTTCAGCAGTGGACGCAAAATGGCTAATGATGATGAATCCCATTCGTTCTACTGCCGCCACTAGCTGGCTGCTGACTTAGGATTAGGGTGGTTCGAAAAAACATTTTTTTTATTTTTTTTTTTAATAATTTGTCTCCCGTTCGTGCAACGCCATCGAAGTTTCCAAAAAATTGTGAAAAACTTTTATTTTTCAAATTTTTTTAAGCAGGCTAGAAGGTTTTAATTGCGTTCCTATACCATAAATTAACTACTAAAAGTAAGTAAATACATTTATTTCATATCTTCCGGTCGCGCAAGATAATACAAAATAAGTAAATTTAGTAGTTTCTCCATAATTTCAAAGTTTGACTGTTTAGTACATTTTAATGTTTAGTACATACGACTTTTCATGTCACCCAATATTATCTTGATGTCATTACATGAACGCCCAAATAGGCAAAGAAGAATAGTTCGCAGGAATAATCGGCAAACACTCACTCCATCAAAACACCAACGAGAACGGGGAATTCCTAATTAATTTTGCCAGCAGGAAAAACATGATCGTGAGCTCTACGTTCTTTGCTCATCGGGATGTACACAAAACAACGTGGATCATGCCAGGTGGAGCGGTTACTAACCAAATTGACCATGTCTTAATAGACAAAAGAGCTGCCACCAACATCCTAGATGTAAAAAGTCGAAGAGGAGCATGCTGTGGATCTGATCACTTGCTGGTACAAGCAAAATATAGATGCAGGATCTCAAGAAACAGAGATACGAAAGAACAGATAAAAGAGCAGTTGGACATTGATAAACTAAGCCAACAAAACGTTAAACTGAGCTACGAGACAGAAATAACCCAGGCACTTATAAACACAGATAACCTAGACATTGAAGAACATTGGAAACAAATGAAGACAAAAGTATTAAATGCAGCAACAAAGACCATCGCTAAAAAGGTAAAGAAGCAAAGGGCAGAATGGTTCAACGAAGAGTGTAGACGGGCCATACACGAACGAAATGAAGCTCACAAGAAATATATGGAAAGGCGAACCAGAGAAAGAAGAACATTTTTCGAGGAGCTACGACGCAGGGCGGATAAAATATGTCGAGGAGAAAAAAGAAAATGGGAAAATAATAAGATACAGAAAATGGAACAAAACCTCCAAAGCAACGATCTAAGGGAGGCATATAAATATCTTCGACAACTAAGAGAAGGATACAAACCCCGAACAAGTCTGTGCAGAAACCAAACAGATAAGATAATTAGTGAACCAACGCAAATAAAATCAGTTTGGAAAAGCCATTTCCAAGCTCTGCTAGGAGCACAAGGAAGCTCACGATCTTCGGATTTGCGGCACATCGAGGAAGGAGACGAAGAAATAAGCAGCCCGACTCTTAAAGAAGTCAAACAAGCAATACAGGCGCAAAGAAACAACAAAGCGCCGGGATTTGACGATGTCCCTTCCGAACTGTATAAATTAGGTGGCGAACATCTAACAACGCAGGTGCACGCGCTCATATCTAAGATATGGAGGGAAGAAAAAATTCCTAGCGATTGGAAAAATGGGATTATCTGCCCAATCTACAAAAAAGGGGACAAACTTAAATGCGAAAATTACCGCGGCATAACCCTCCTATGTTCGGCCTACAAAATTTTTACATCCATCCTGAATAGGCGACTTCAACCATTATGTGAAAATATTATCGGCGAATACCAGACCGGTTTCCGACAAGGCAGGTCGACAATAGATCAGCTTTTTACAGTAAAGCAAATCCTTAATAAAGCTTGGGAACACGATATTGATGTTCACAATATATTTGTCGACTTCAAACAGGCTTATGACTCCATAAATAGAAGCCGGTTATATAACATCATGGAAAGCTTCAATATTCCCTCGAAATATATCCGACTAGTAAAAACAACGATGGACTCCACAATAGCAACTGTACGCATACAGTACGAATTAACTGACAGCTTCGAAATAGTTCAAGGGCTGAAACAAGGTGATGGACTAGCTCCAACACTGTTCAATCTGGCCCTTGAATATGTCATGAGAAAGCTGAATGTCGGAAGAGCCAATCTCCTAACAAACAAATCTGTCCAGCTCGCCGCATATGAGGATGACATCAACCTCATGTCCCGCAGAGTGGATGATGCAGCAGAAACATATTCGCAGCTGAAAAAAACGGCCAAGGAGATTGGACTTGAAATAAATACACAGAAGACAAAAATACTAACACAGACGCGGACAAAGCGAACAAGAAATCAAATCAAAGTAGAGGATGACATTGAAACAGTGAAGAGTTTTACTTATCTGGGAGTCGAAATGAATACGGAGGGAACAGAAGAGGCGAAATTCAGAAGAGAATAATGAAGGGAAATAAAGCCTATTTTTCCCTGATTAACATATTCTGCTCCAAGACGGTACATCTAAAATTGAAACTTAAGGTCTATAAAACTATCATCAGACCGATAGTATGCTATGGATGCGAGACATGGGTTTTGACAGAAAGCACTAAACGAAGATTAGAGGTTTTCGAGAGAAAAATCCTAAGGAAGATCTTTGGACCCATCACTCAAAATGGGATGTGGAGATCTAGATATAACCATGAACTCTACCAACTGTTCAAAGAAGCACCTATTGCAGAGTTCGCTAGAGTACAAAGGCTTCGATGGGCTGGTCATGTGGTACGGATGGATGCCGACAGATTGCCGAGAAAGGCCTTGGATGGTAAAATGAAGGGCAGAAGACCAAAGGGAAGACCACGTAATAGATGGGAGAACGAAGTCACAGCAGATGCGCACAACTTATTGAACGTCAGGGCTTGGAGACGAGTGGCGCGGGATCGCCTTTGTTGGAGGCAGAAGTTACAGGAGGCCAAGGCTCAATTTGGGCTGTAGCGCCATTATAAGAAGAAGAAGTACATACGACTTTTAAAAATGCTATAGTGTAACTATATTACAATAATATAGTTAAAATCCAAGCATATTAGATAAACTATGATATTCAAGTGGAATTTAGTCGCGCAAAAACAGAAGATTACTGAGAGGCGAGGCGAAAGTGATGAATGCCAGCGAAACGTGCAGCCAATGGCAGCCATTATCGTTTGTGGCTATTTCCTTCAGTCTGCTCATGACGCTATATGAGTTAGTACACGATTGTGTTGTGCTTAAGTCCGTATTTTTCTGTTTACTTTTGCGTTCAGTGTTTGTAATTAAATAGTTCTACACGACAGTCATTGATACAATGGATGTGCCAAGAAAAGTTGGTATAGTGTGACGTCCTTTTATTGCTCTAATTTATTTGTCTTTATTCTAATTTATTGTCTATATTCTAATTTATTAAAACTCACGATAACTAAATACGAATTTATTAAAGTCTTTATTAATTCTAATTTATATTACAAATGTATTTATTTCACGTTTCGTTACATTTTAATATCGCGGTTCGCGAGCTTCTTATAACTGACTGCCAAATAAAAATCTTTCATTTATATACACAACTGTGTCATCCAGAGAATTCGGCGGACTTCTTGAATAGTCTCGTATTTTGGTGAAGGCGCTCGACTCGTTTTTCAACCTCGAGACGTGGATGATTCACCAAAATTAGTGTCTAGAGATTTCTGGTAAACAACTGGTAGCTAAGCTCAGGTATATTTTGACCTACAAATTACGAGAATCAATAAAAAGAATTAGTCATAAAATATTTACAGTTCTATATGCCATAACATTTAAAATCGTAACATTGCCCCCCTCTTAAAAGATGGTTCCTCCTGGAACCTTGTCGGGACTGGAACTGGAACGACATGCTGATATCGGCAACTGGACCCTCTTTTACAACTTCCAGTTGTATAGAAATGACAAGGGACGGTTTTCTCTCCGCAGCAGTAACTATGCGGATTGCAACAGACTAACACCTGGACTTCGGTGTCTTTAAAGACTTTCTCCACCATGTTTCGTATAACCCTCCAATCTAATTGGCGGCACTCCAACTTTGGCATGGCTAACTTTTGCACGTCGGACTCTAGTACGTGCTCTCTCAACTGAAGTAAGGCTTCCCATACATCTCGGTAGGTAGGTTGGTCACGGGCAGTGTCTTTTGTTACCAGGTAGAAAAGGTAACGTGATGCATCTTGAAGTTTCAAGGTTTTACCAGGAGCTGGCACTTGGCATTGAAGTTCTGCAACTCGACCAAACTTCCTTCGAAAGACGGATGCCAACCCTGGTGCATCTTTGATACTGGCCGGGATGGTAAGGGCCAGTGAGTAGTCATCGGGAAGCGCGAGTAGATCTTGCCTTTCTTCAGTGGTAACACCATGTCTTGCTTTACCGGTACCTCCATAGGCACCCATGAATTCCTCAAACGTGAGGTCAGACACATCTTGGACTTGGTTTACTTCCACTTCTTCATCTACGTCGTGGTCACCCTCGAAAGACGCCAGCCGGTTATGGTGTACTATCATCGGCTTTCCTCTCGGAATCTTGCTTATTCGGTAAATAACATCATTGATCTTCTCCATAATGAGGTATGGACCTTCCCAAAACTGCTGCAATTTGGGAGAACAACCTT